GGAGCAACAGAGCCGGGAGATTGAGGAGAGCCCAAGCACGACAGATCTTTCTTTTTTTTGACAAAATTTTCCCAGCAGTATTTCGTCAATCTCCACTCGCTGGTGAATCCCAGAGGTTGACATAATAGCAATACTCCGATTGAGAAAAGGAAACAAGTAACTTATTCTTCTTGGGTGGTTTTTCAGCGCTGTCCCAAGACAGTGGGGCATTTCGAACAAATTCAAAACCGCCGCAGGCATTTTTTTCTTGCTCTGAATGTGTAAAAACTCATGTTTGCCCATTTTTTTATGGAAATACCTTAGAAAAAAATCTTCTCGTCATATAAAATTTCGAGTCACCACATCATTGCCAGATCTCTACAGACAGCTTCGAGGGAACGGATTTTTTTACAGCGCCCCTCCCAAGGCTTCTCTTTGATCCGCCGTTTAATCTGTGACCATGTGATTCAATTCGCTGTGTATGCATGGCAGTAAAGGAATTCACAAAATTAAGGGCATAAGGGCAACTCAATGTTGATAAGGTTCCAATAATCAGGCCAACAGCCCTTCCTAATGGTTGTATAGGTAGGACTTTACGAAGCATGATTCCATTGGGTGGGGGGACGTCTTGATGCTGAACAGAAATATTGTCGAAATATTTTCTTTGTTCCAGCTTCTATGCCACGGATGAGCTATGACCAGCAAACTCTTCTTGCTTCGATTGTACTTTCTTTTCACTATGTCCATCCCATGGACTTGAACTATCTTGCCTGGGGCACTAATTTTGTGGGCTCCAAATTCACCACATAGCATTCGACAATTATATCCCTAAACTACTAATCCCACAAAAAATTGTTATCGTCTACTTCACTCGAACGCGCTTCTTGCTCCACTGTTCCCATATCGTCAATAAAGAGATACGAGGCAAGGAAAAGGGTCTGACTCCGCACAGCATCTCGAAGAATGAAGCCCAGGAATCCTATGATATTGATAGATTTAGAAAAATCCATTAACGAGACAGCCGGTCTTCCTAATGATTGCTTGTTCCACACGATGTCCGATTAAATTAAAATTTAAAGGCAGTGGTCGTTATAAATCCCATAATGGAAAAGGAATGAGGCATAGTGGTGAGGCTGAAGGCCTACCAAAGGAGACGGGAGTATTTCGGAGCGAAATCGGTTCATAAACGGTGTGATAAAGCGTCAGGAAGCAACTCGTCAACACCCCTCTTTGTTCCACCCAGCGCGCTGAAGACGTGGAAGCAGGGTTTTCTTCACGCTGGATCGATGCAGAGATACCAGCAAGAAATTGACAGTTGATGGAAATTCCTGTGAGGTCTGTACTTCCCCAGTCACTGGCAGTTTTAAGAATATAGAAAACGTCAACTTCCGATTTTAAAGCTGTTTGAGAACATTGCTGTAAATTTAGTGGAGGTTTTCAAGACGCTTGGGACCTGTATTGCGGTCACT